GTGACCGGTGACCGGTGACCAGTGACCGGTGACCGGTGACCAGTGACCACTGACCGGTGACTGTCGGTGTCCAGGACTTGGGTGGGGAAATTTGGGGAAAATAAAGGAAAATTTGAAAAAAACCAAAGGAATTGAATTATGGGAACTGGGAGGGAACTGGGATGAACTGGGAGGGACTGGGAGGCTGAACTGGGAGGGACTGGGAGCACCGGGAGGCTGAACTGGGAGCAACTGGGCTGAAGTGGGCTGAACTGGGAGCAACTGGGAGGGACTGGGAGCACTGGGAGGCTGAACTGGGAGGAACTGGGCTGAACTGGGAGCACTGGGAGGGGCTGGGAGGGACTGGGAGGCTGAACTGGGAGCACTGGGAGCACTGGGAGGATGAACTGGCGTCAACTGGGCTGAACTGGGAGCACTGGGAGGGACTGGGAGGCTGAACTGGGAGCACTGGGAGCACCGGGAGGCTGAACTGGGCTGAACTGGGAGCACTGGGAGCAACCGGGAGGGCACTGGGAAATTGAACTGGGTTCAACTGGGAGGCTGAACTGGGGTCAACTGGGAGGCACTGGGAGGCTGAACTGGGCTGAACTGGGAGCGCTGTAAGGGACTGGGAGCACTGGGAGGTTGAACTGGGAGCAACTGGGAGCAACTGGGAGGGACTGGGAGCAACTGGGAGGGACTGGGAGGCTGAACTGGGCTGAACTGGGAGCAACTGGGAGGGCACTGGGAGGCTGAACTGGGCTGAACTGGGAGCAACTGGGAGGGCACTGGGAGGCTGAACTGGGCTGAACTGGGAGCAACTGGGAGGGCACTGGGAGGCTGAACTGGGAGCAACTGGGGTCAGCTGGGAGCAACTGGGAGGCTGAACTGGGAACACTGGGAGGGAACTGAGAAGTTGAACTGGGCTGAACTGGGAGGGAACTGGAATTAACTGGGAGGGACAGGGCTGAACTGGGAGGGAACTGGGAGCACTGGGCAGGACTGGGAAGTTGAACTGGGTTCAACTGGGCTGAACTGGGAGGGAACTGGAATTAACTGGGAGGGACTGGGAGCACTGGGCGGGACTGGGAAGTTGAACTGGGTTGAACTGGGAGGGACTGGGAGCACTGGGCGGGACTGGGAAGTTGAACTGGGTTCAACTGGGCTGAACTGGGAGGGAACTGGAATTAACTGGGAGGGCACTGGGATTAACTGGGATGGGCACTGGGAGGGAACTGGGAGGCTGAACTGGTTTGTACTGGTTTGAACTGGGAGCACTGGGAGGGACTGGAATTAACTGGGAGGGACTGGGAGGGAACTGGGAGGCTGCACTGGTTTGTACTGGGTTGAACTGGGAGGGACTGGGAGCACTGGGAGGGCACTGGAATTAACTGGGAGGGACTGGGAGGCTGAACTGGTTTGTACTGGGCTGAACTGGGAGGGACTGGGCTGAACTGGGATGAGCACTTAGGGGCCCGGGGAGTGCACTGGGCTGAACTGGGAGCACTGGGAGGCTGAACTGGTTTGTACTGGGCTGAACTGGGAGCACTGGGAGGGCACTGGGAGGGCACTGGGAGGCTGAACTGGTTTGAACTGGTTTGAACTGGGAGGGAACTGGGGATTTAAAGGCGGCGGCTCCTTCCTCCCCCTCCTCCTCCTCCTCCCGATGGAGCGGCTGCTGCTGCTGCTGCTGGCTACTGGTTTGTACTGGTTTATACTGGTTTATACTGGGGGGCACTGGGGGGGGGCTGGGGGGCACTGGTTTGTACTGGTTTGTACTGGGTTGGACCGGGGGGCACTGGGGGGCTGCTGCTGGCCACTGGTTTGTACTGGTTTGTACTGGTTTGGACTGG